GACCTTTGATGGGGTGCCTCTGGTGCCTGCGTCGGAGGTTAGGAGTTTGGGAGTGCTCCTAGACTCCTCTTTAACGATGGAGGCCCAGGTAGCAGCCACTGCCAGGTCTGCATTTTACCATCTGAGACAGGCTCGGCAGTTGGCCCCCTTCCTCGCCCGCGAAGACCTGGCTACAGTGATCCATGCGACGGTCACCTCAAGGCTAGACCACTGTAACGCTCTCTACATGGGGCTGCCTTTATCGCTGACCCGGAAGCTGCAGCTAGTGCAGAATGCGGCAGCTAGGCTGCTGATGGGTCTCCCCAGGTGGGAACACATCAAGCCTTGGTTGAAGGCGCTGCACTGGCTGCCTATAGCATACCGAGTCCGCTTTAAAGTGCTGGTACTTACCTATAAAGCCCTATATGGCCTGGGTCCGACCTACCTGAGGGACCGCCTTTCCCCGTACATACCCCCAAGAGCACTTCGGTCAGAGACCAAGAACCGGCTAGTGGTTCCGGGCCCCCGAGAGGTAAAATTGGCTGTGACGAGGGCCAGATCTTTTTCAGTGGCGGCCCCTACCTGGTGGAACGAGCTCCCGGATGAGATCAGGGCCCTGCGCGACTTTATGCAGTTCCGCAGGGCCTGCAAGATGGAGCTCTTCCACCAGGCTTATATGTAGGGGCCGCCGCTACTGCCACCACTACCAACGGTGGTAATACCATCAGGGTCAGGAAAGCCCCGAGTAATTTGGAGGTATAAGAACTACCTGGCAATAAGAACAACGGCCGAGTTCGGACTTTCTAGTAGACAGCGACACCCCAAACTGCGTGCTGCTGAAAGTCATCATAAGAACAACTAAGACCATCTTGTGAAATAGAAGCACTTTATTGTTTATTGTTTATTGTTGAATTGTACTGTTGTTATAAATGTTACAGTTTTATTGGTTTTATGTATGGGCTTATGCCCCTTGTAAGCCGCCCTGAGCCCACTTGCGGGGTAGGGCGGGGTAAAAATATTTATATAAATAAATGAATAAATAAAATAATCTATTTGCCTTGGCTGCAAGGAAAATACGGGCCAACGCTGCTCCTAGCTAATACTGATTTTAGTGGGTATGTTGTGAATTAATGAACTGTTCATAACCTCGGTTTTATGGATTTATAATGTTTGGACTGTATCTTATTTTATACAATTTTTATGTTTTATTGTGTTCTTTTCTGTCTGTGGTTTGTAATGGCCTATGGCTAAATACAATAAAACCTTCTCTCTCCTATTATTGCTTCCTCTAAAGAGTTTAAAGTAGTATTTGAGCATATTAACATAATTCTGATGAAAATGCTACTCCATTCCATCTCTCCAACAAGGTGAGAGAGGTTAAGTGTGTGGGCAGCCCCTACAGATGGGGCTGCCGGAACACTTCTGCTACTCCTAGGGGCTGTCATTCCATTCTGGGGACTGTTGTTCCAGCTCCAAAACACTTCTGCTACTCCCAGGGGCTGTCATTCCCCTCTGAATGCTGTCATTCCAGCTCCAGAACACTTCTGCTACTCCCAGGAGCCGCCATTCCACTCTGCAACCTGTCATTCCAGTGCCAGTACATTTCTCCTACTCTCGCAGGGGCCCATTCCACTCTTGGGGCTGTCATTCTAGAACACGTCTGCTTCCAGGGGCCATCATTCCACTCTGGGGGCTGTCATTCCACTTCTGCCACTCCCAGGGGCTGTCATTTCACTGGGGGGGGGGGGGCTGTCATTCCACTCCCAGAGCACTCATTCTGTTCCAGGGGACTGTCATTCCAGTCCCAGAGACATTAAATGAAAATCTGCTCCACATTTTCATTGCAACTATTTTATGTTGTAATGTATTTCAATTGAGCCTTTGCAAGTCAACTGGCATTCCT